CAGCGCTGTTTTTCAACTTCAGGAACGCCTCGCGGTACCTCTTCGTAACACAGCGATCGCGCCAATATTTTTGTATGCAAGAAGCTGCTCTGTTATGATTTTCTTCACAGTAACGGCGATATTCGTCGGCGACAAGTAGCAGCTTTTTAGAAAGTAAACGGCGGCGATAGCAGCGCTGTATGAATACGGTACAACAGCGTAAGACAGCAAAGTGCCGACGATAGCTGACACCGAGCGCACACGCACGGTACCAACGCTGAATCTTACACACTGCGGTTATAGTACGTTTGTAGTGCTTTTGTGCCAAGTGTCGTCTAGTGTGCTTCTGTAATACCACCGCAGCTTCAGTGCGCTCTCGGCGATATAACTCCACCCAGCGACGCGATATGTATCCATGATAGTACGCTTGAATCGTGGTTGCAGCTTGCTGCCGACGGCGCTCCTCTTTCTCATGTATGCGTCGCTTCACCCACACACCTAGCCACTTGCTGCGCCACCACTTTTGAAGAACGCGTGCCGCTGCGTGGAATTTCGGCGAGCGGAATTTATAGATAATCTGCCAAAGCAAGGAAAGCGTCTTCTCCCGGTGTCCATCGACAATATCTGCTGCAGTAATGTCGCCTTGCAACCTAAAGTCAGCCTCACTCAAGGCCTTCAATCCCAAATTTACATTGTAAATTCTCTGCAAGCGCGATATGGCCGGCACGCGCAACTGTTTACTGAGGTCTTCTCGCAGCAATATTATCTCCATGACGCGCGTCAGGCGTATACCATCTCGCAGATCAACGGCGAGATTTTGGAAGGCGTAATTAAATTCGTCTAGGAAACACTGCTTATGCTCCAGCACATAGCCGAGTCGTTTCAAATCTCGGGTAATATCGCCCATATTTGCAAGCAACTCTGATGAAAATTTTAGCAGAATTTCTTTTGTTTCCTTATGGGGCGATTTCTTGACAAAGAGGCACGGATTGTATTTGATAATGCGCTTTTGCTTGGCTTTATCCAGAAATAGCAGTAGACATAGCATTTTAGTCAGCGTATACTTTTTAATATACTCTGCGTATTCCTCCGATAGCGAATAAGCGCGCGAATATTTCTCCTCTAATAGCTTGTCGCGGAAAAGGCGATTCAGTATAAAGGTGCTGAGTCCAATAATGTCGGTATTTGAACGCAAATGTATTTTCTCCCCATACACCACTTCCAAGCCTATGCGTAGCCACATTGGATTGAAGCAGAGCAGCAGTTCAAGTATATACCGCTGCATTACCACATCGAGATGCAAATTTCGATCGTTTCGTATACGTATTGCCTTTTTGTTTACATACACTGCCACTTTCGAGCAGGGTTCACGCACCTCTTCGCTCAAATACAAATAAACGGCTGCACGTCTAACAACCTCCAGCCGATGCTGTACCATATAATCCATAGACTGCTCTTCTTTGGTAGGCGCTAATGTTAATTCCTTGTGGCGCACCTCATTGAATAGTTTTCCCACATCGATCTTGGCGTCGCTGTTGGCATCCATGTCTGCTGGTATGGTGACCAGCGCATTCAACCATTTTCTAAAATCCTGTTGATGTTTCTGCACAGCTGTTTCATCCAAATACATAGTGGAAGCGAGAAAGGGATCACAAGTAGTGCTTGCAGCAAAAGGATCGGGGTTAATGCAGAATTGTAGGTACAACTCTGGATCATAGAGCTTCTCTGAAGTCAATGGTGAGAGTTGAATATTTGGTGGACTGACCTTTTTTGGTGTAGTTGGCTCTACTATTTTCATCTTTTTCACCTGAGTACGTGACCAATTTTTGGAGCGCGATAAACCAGGTATTGACGGACGCTCAAAAGTGAAATCATTATCTACACGCTGCCGCTTTGGTGGCGAAACCAAAATCAGGCTCATATTTTTGTTGGAAGATGGTGCATTTTTGGATTTAGAAGAAGGGCTCCTAACTGACGATTTATCGCTGGAAGTAGTCGCTAGAGATTCACTGCTTGGCGCATCGGAAAAAGATAGATCCTGTGAATTTCGCTTGTTTGATTTCGATGGCGAATACTCAGACAATTTAACTTTTGATGATTTGGGTGACACGCCACGTAAATCTCGCCATTTGCCAGACACAGGAACTGGGCTACTGCGACGCGATTTTACGCCAACTTCATTTAAATTAAAACGACTCGATTGCGCTAATATTTCGCTTTGATTAAAAGCGAGATCGGCTTGGGACATAATCCCTAAATCGACATATGCAGATTCGTTGCCTAGGGTATTGGGTTCACAAATTTTGGGTGGTGGGTAGATAGGGGTACTTGCTTCCGAGATTAAACCCCCTTGCGATGGCATGCGATTATTGAAAAAGTATCGATTCTGCTCGATGGACCGAATACATTCCATTTCATTCAGATTCGGCATAGAACCTTGACTAGCCGAGTAACGCTTACTTGGTGAACGCAATGAAAGATCTTTCATTGATTCGGAGTATTTTCGCAAAGGTGTGCCTACTAATTTAATGTCGCGTAACAGATCTTCTTCCCCACGCACAGGACTTGATTCGGCTACTATCTCACTTTTGTTTTTCACATAAGTTTTCTCAGGTTCTCCACTGCAAAGGCTAGTGTCTTCCTCTTCTATCATAGCTAGTGGGCGCGACTTTGGAGTTGTGGTAATTGTAGTGGTCTTGTTAAGCGTAATACCATAACAAACGGGTGTGTCCAAGGAATCTGTTGATATATTAATATTTTCGTGTCTTACTTCAAAAGTTTTATTTGTAATAACAGCGCTGCCAGGCGATTTTTGATCCATATGAAACTCGACTGTCATATGAGTGGTATTAGTATTCTCAAGGAAATCAGCGGACTCATTGGCCGAAGTTAACCGCCGTGGTCGCATGGTTGATAAGTTAACCTTCACCGAATCCACGCTAACAGGTGTTGGCCAACTGGCTAAATTATCCAAATCGTGATGTCCAGCAATACCACTTTTCACATCACCACTGTTTATAGGTGTGAACTGAATCTTGTCGAACATTTTTATGACATTGCTAGGAGTCATAGGACTAACATTTTCTTTGTGTGTAAGCAGAACCGGTGATTTGTTTGAAGAAACTGTGGGCATAGCAGCATTCACAGCTTTGTTGCGCGCGTAAATATTTCGCTCAGAAAGCGGAGATGTGTGAGTAAAGTTTATAGTAATTTCATCGAACACTTCGCGTTTCTGTTCTTCACGTAAATTACATTTAGTATCTGCCCATACTGATCTCGGAGGAGGCGCGCGTACCCGTGTGGTTGATGGGGCAGAAGGCGGTTTACCTGCCCTTTGAGTAGTTGTTGTGGGTGGTTTGCGCGATTGTGTCTGTGCTGAGCTGGATTTGTGCGATTTTGTGGCACCTTTCGGGGACTTGAGACGTAGCGTTCTCACATAACTGCTGTTACTAGTCGAAATAGTAGGAAATTTTCGAACACTCTGTAAAATTGCGTGAAATTAGTTATTTTAGAGTTTAGTGTATTGATATACACACAGTTCATTAGCGCTACTTTAGTAAAAGCACATGGTCGGCTATACAACTGATGTCCGATTTAAATTTGAAATTAAAATTTATACATTTTTTCTAGCCACTTTTATTTTGGCAAATATGTAGCTACAACGTATGAATTAATATACATATTAAACACAGAGAAAAGGCTGAGCTGATAAACCTAATAATTTTTATTTGGAAAACTAGTAATAAATATTAAAAGATACGAAATTGATTCGTACTAAAATTATAAAAATTTAATAACTTCTAATTTTCAATAACCTTTTAACTTCAGAGAATACACATTTCAACTGCAATTTGCTAGAGTAATTAAATATGGTTGCTTGACTAACTACCCAATGGTGCATCGGTTAATGTTTGGTGCAATTTAAAAAACGGTTTTCATATGCAATTATGCTTAATCAACCCCCTTTCTGTTACATATTCAACCACCGTATTTTCAGACGTCTTACATACATACATATGCATATGCATTCTGTACTAAGCGCTAGAATATCTAACTTCTTTTTGCATACCTTAATAGGATTGGTTACGCGGGTTTTCATTATCACCATAACATCCTTACGAAAATTTCTGTTATCCAAAAGTTGTAATGTTTCTTTACAAGTGAATTGTTCCAAAGGATTCCATACCATCTCCATCTCTACAGTTTTGGATCGGGGTATAACGATTTCGTCCCAACTAATTGAAACATTGTATTCCTCGCTTATTGGCTTTATAACACGGACCTATTGGTGAAAAAAGAGAATAATTAAACAAATGCTGATAGTATTACATTTTATTTTTTTGCAAAGTGAACTTAAATTTTTAGCTCGTACAAGTGCTACAGAGGGGAAATCGATTTAATTTCATACTGGTTGCCGCTCAACGCAAATATGTGGGAATTCGGTTAATATGCGGAAAAGCAGGTCAGTAAGCTTGCTAGATATGCTTCTTACTAACACATTTTACAAACATGAATAACATGGAGTAACAATGAAATGATGTAGCTCGCATACTTCTATATTATCCTCAGAGGGGTTGACTATACGTAAAATACGTCGCGCCGTCTTTCCAACTGGCACATCTTCGAATGTTACAATGGATTTGGCGGAGAACGGCGCCATTACAACGTCGGTAGGCTCGCGAGATTCTATTCGCTTCTTGCATTTTGGGTGTGTCGGAGTAAGCACCACCTAGACCGAAGAAAGTATAAATTTAAAACAAATACACAAATATAAAGACAGACGCACTACAAACCTCGAAAGCGCTCATTTTATTCGCAGATTTTTGTTAGTCTGATTTGATTTAAACTTATTTATTAAAATACACTTCATACAACATTAATAAAGAAAAGACAGACATACAAATTATCACTTTAACATCGAAAATACACACAATATAACAAAATCGTTTAACAAATTAACTCAGATAAACGGGACAACTGAAAATCCAACCGCCAAATTGAAAAATAGTCAATTCAAGGCGAATTTATAAATGTATGAATTCGCCTTGAGCCAATCTGTCAATTTCTAAATCTCAAATAGGAAACGTTTGGAAAAGTTACACTACTGCAGTGGTCGTAAAACTATTATATAAGGAATTAAGGTCTGCACAAACGGCGCGGTGCGTAGACTGCGGTATAACCAGGGACTCATGGCTACTCTAGAACGTTTTGAAGTTTATGGCACATTGGGCCTCCGCACACTGGACTGCACAGCCAACCTAAAACCGGTTTTGTGTGGACAAGAAGGGGAGAGAGTTCGAGTTTACCTCGCTCATTTCAGTCCGCGAAAATCGCGGATTGACGGTGGACTCACACGCACACATAGACAACATGTTTTCTATTTCGTTTTGTTTGCATGTGCCACATGCACTAACACAATCATGCGTAGTTCATGTATATAAAACTGAAACCTGTTTTCGGTGGACTGCCCAGTCCAGTGTGCGTTCGAGTGGTGGACTGCTCAGTGGGACTGAGCAGGCTAGTGTGCTCAGGCCCATTCTCTCGCTGTTCGCGTTATTCATCCATTTCACGTTTCTCACTAGGGTGTCCAGATTGTTAAAAAAAGCGCAATTTCTGAAAAAATCGCTAAAAATCGCCGTTTTTTTAAATAAAATTGATGAAAGTTGCGTTCGCGTAGCTGTTAATTGTTCATGTTTAACCAAAACTTACAAGTTTTTGCGTTACCGTACGCAAAAAACTTGCAAAGTAGGGGAAATTGAGAGAGCAAACTGACATTTCATTTTGAGGGGAAGCTGCTGGTTTCTGCTGGAAAAAGGTTTGCCAACAGCAATTTGTCAACAGGAAAATAGCTGATCAAAAACAGCTGGTTGGCATGTATGCAAATCACAAAATTGAATTTGATGGTATGGAAGTTAAAAATTACAAAATGCGACTAATTAAACTTGTAAGAAATAAGTAGTTATTTGTTTAATCAATAAACTGGGTCAGTATAACACTTTGTAAGTTTCTACAAATTTTCTGTTCGCGCACTATTTTGGATACTTTTCTCTTGTGAGAGAACAGATGACATTTCGCCGGAATTTGGCAGTTCGATGTTTTTTTACTGGAGATTTTAAACGATCGCACTTGAAATCGACTTAGCAAATCTGTTATTTTAAAAATGAGATCATGGTATAAAATAGTTAAAAAAAAACGAATAAAATACCTTCAGGGTAATAATAAATAACATAAATTACTTATATAGATAGATAATTCATAGAGGAATGCACTGCGACCAGCAGGTCTATTGTGCCCTCAACCATTTACAGTACCTCATCTAGAGAGCCCAAAAATTTGAGGTGATCCCCAGGGATTAGCGATTGTATTGCTTCGTTACTTGGCCAGTAGTGGCCCAGGTGCCTCTCCCGTCTTCTCGCGACCGCCACGCATTCGCTAAGCAGGTGCACGGGAGTCTCCTCGGTCACGTCGCAGAAACGGCATAGGTCTTTTGACCAAATCCCTAGCTTGGGTAGACGGCCTCTCAGTCTGCAGTGACCCGTCAGAAAACCTGTTATAATCCTTAGTTTTCCTTTGGATAGATTGATAATTGCCCTGTACCTCGTGAGGTTGTAGCCTCTCAGTAGGTGTTTTGCTTGACGTAAACCTGTAGTGTTACCCCAGTGTTGATTCCTTTGTATGTTCCTTTCTTTCCTGAGCTCCTCCTTGATTGTACTAGGTCCAATCGCTAGGAAGGGCTCAGGCCCTATAGGCGACGAGGCGGCCGCCATTCTAGCTAGTCGGTCCGCTTCCTCGTTGCCCGCAANTCAGTAGGTGTTTTGCTTGACGTAAACCTGTAGTGTTACCCCAGTGTTGATTCCTTTGTATGTTCCTTTCTTTCCTGAGCTCCTCCTTG